ATCACACGAGTCAGACAGTTGCCTGCCATCAGGACTATTGTGGCTTGATGATGTCATCCTCTCGACAGAGTTCGAGTCACAACAGAGATTTGTCTAAGCATCCTCAGATTGGTTTTCTACACGTAACTGCACTCTGACGGTCAGGAGGTGGAGTGAAACGAGTCTTAATGGGAAGTCTAGCAGGACGACTCAGGCATAGTGTCCATGAGCGGCGAGCATAAGAACTTTCTGTACAGGGGGGGGGGGGCTCAGAAGCTCGTAAGCTGATGCCTAGACTGACTAGTGTCAGTTGTTGAATGATCACAATGCGGTGACATGTAACACGAAGATGTTACCAATGGTCGGGCTCAGGCCACACTGTGATCTATATACATATCTGGGTTCAGACCACACTGTGATCTACACACACATCTGGGCTCAGACCACACATCGGGACACACGGAAAACTGCACACACCCACACTGCACGTGCAGCTACAACATGGTTTTCACTAGCAAATGATGCTTTTCTTTGCAAAAATCGACACTAAAACATTCACGAATATGTGAGAACACTAGTAAGGAACACTGACTCAGAGGACTTAACACGTGACATATCTTCTCTCAATCCTTCTCGACAATACTGCGACAAAGTGCTCACTGTGAAACTAGTAACATCAGGGTAGAGGTCCAGGGTGACATTGCAAAGTGATGTCAGGCAGACGTCCTGGGTGACATCGGGCAGACGTCCTGGAGAGACATCGCGAGGTGACATCAGGCAGCAGACACCAGCACATGGCTTTGGACATCTGGCTTGGTTACCCATGTGGCTCGCTCCACGTGACTTGTAGATTCACGTGGCCTTATCCACATGTGGCTTCGTGATCCACATTCCTTCGAGTGACCTCAGGCACTCAGATACACAGCTCTGGCAAGAATTCAAACTGAACTCAAAGATAAACAGCAGAGAGGGTGTGAGAGTGTAGTGTTGTATGGTGGTAGTGGTGAGCGTGGGTGTTGTATGGTGGTAGTGGTGAGCGTGGGTGGTGTATGGCGAGGGTAGATCAGGTCACTTCCTCCGCACCCCACATACCCACTTAGAGAATCAATCATACTGGATGCAGAGCACCACACAAACTCACCTCTGACTTGCTGAAATAGCAGTGCTGAGCTGAACACATCAGCAGAAACATATAGGTGATGCTGAGTACGTGACTGAAGAGCGCAGGATGCTGTGGTGACCCAGGTGATGCCACGAAGATTTCTCGAAGAAAATTCAGCAAATTTCGGTCTGGATCCTGCTGATTCTATGTCTGAATAATGAAACTTGTAGACACGACTTCTGGGCAACTCGTAGAGAGACAGATGCTTCTTGTATGGGGCGATGAAGTGGAGACAACATTTTCGGCTTCCTTCCTCTCTCCGGGCAACACAACTTGCTTCAGCAACTGCTTCCACCATTTATCGTCGAGGATTATGCGTTGATCTGGTAATGGAAATGAATGATAAGGTTTCGGAGGCTTGTTACTTTACTTGGGGTCTTGTATATAGGCAGTGTGTTTAAGTTGCCCAGGCCCAGAGGGTCACTTCCGTAAGACTGAGTGACGTTGGCTGCACTACCCTCCTGTTCCTTGGATCATACCTAATTACCATTCGTTCCGCAGGTGCTGTATGTAAACCACAGTAATAGTAACAACAGAAACAACAGCGACAACAATAACAACAACAATAATAATAATAATAATAATAATAATAATAATAATAATAATAATAATAATAATAATACAGAGCTCCCTGTCTCTATATGGACGGGTGGTGTTGTGAGGCAACACAAGTGTCATAGCTGCAATAGTGGCTTTGATATGTATGTGAACACTGATTAATCACATGATGTGAGGCAGAATTGCATTGATTAATTAGTAAGTACTGGTAGTCTAGGATTACTACTATATTATTCACTGGTAAGCGCTAAACCTAGAAGGGTCTTGCAGAGGCATGGGATTAGGAGAGTGAGAGCTGCTATAATTCCTGGGATCAAGAGCTCTTTGCCGGTATCAGCGCAACCCTTGTTCAGCATGAAGGAGAAGCAGGGGAAGTCAGGAATAGTAAACGAATATACACCTAACATTTTTCACTGTTTCTGTCTCCATGTTGGTTTCCTCAATTTATAAATAAGTGTACCGGAACTATAGCCGGGTCTATACACCCACATCGTCCTTGTCAGAGTTCAAAGGGTTGGAACATGTAGCGTTACACATACAATTAAATACTTAATATGATGAAAGAATGAAGCATTTCCTAGTGTTGCTGATAGAATACGTGAAATTGCTGCGTGGTGATTAAAGCATTGCTGTCTCTTTAGAATTTCTAGAATACATAACTCATGGGACAAGTAAGCAAGTAAGTCAAGATGGACTCTAATAAGAGTCACATAAAAATGTTTGGACTGCGTGAACTATATCACGCTAAGATAGAGCAGCATTTTCCGTCACACTGTGATCATCTACTCCCCACTTCCCAAGAAACTAATCATATACAACTCTCATCTTCGAATACATGCACTTTCTATACTCGGAGTTGTGGAACAAATACACGACCTGCAGAGAAAAAATATCACAAACTACGCTGATGGCTCTCTTAACCCTGACAGTGGGAGAGCACGAAGTACTACTGTTATTATATACCATCCTGATGGTACTGAGGTTTATTAGAATTAGAAATTGCAAACTGACCTGTTTCCTATATTTGTTGCTCCTAAGTTTCTGGAAATTACGACCTCGGATAGTTCAATTGTAACCGACTCCCTTTCTTCATTACTTGTTCTGAATAGCCCAAGACCTGAATGTATCATGCTTATGTATGAAGCTAGGCACTGATATGCACAAATTAGTTAGAAAGGGATTACAGTCAATCTTCTGTGGCTTTCCTCTCATATAGACCTAGATGATCATTATAGAGAATGTGGAGCATTATTTTGTTTTTCAAGCAGAGGTTAAAGAAACATTATCAGAATGGAACTAGCAAGCAAGTTCGAAAAAAGTCACGTCAAGCATATCTATAAAGAAAGTAAATAGGTCAGTAGATTGCAAAATATTGTTATTGTTGGATTAAGGCTAGGCTATAAGCAGCTGTTTGGCAATACAGTTGGTATGGAGATGCGAATGTCATAAAATGCAAAGTGTGAGGACAGATACAGTGTCATACACTCGAGTATTATATCGCAGAGTGTCCAAACATCCAACTTCTCAGAGACACCTCCATGCAAACCTCTAAGGTTACGGCAAAACACCTCATTTATGATAAAGTATTTGAAATCTTCATATTGTCCAAATTTTGCGTCAACTAGATGAATGAGCTGACTTTATTGAGGAGATTGCAAACCAGTTATAAGCAAAAAAAATTAAGACTATATTCCATACTGTATTGTGTGCATTAGCTATGTGATGTAATTGTAATATATGAATGACTAATATTTATTTTTGTTAATGCAACAGTGCCTATTACACTTAGAAGCTTCACCATACGTAATGGTGAAGCTTCCAACGTATAACAGAAAAGAACATTCATGGAAAGTTGGTGAACGTGCACCATCTCCACTATATTCTGTTACTTTTTCTCTTGTTTTTACACTGTTCAATTTACAGGCCAAGATGAAATGGTGTATTGATTCCGGCTCAGACTACCACCATCCACGAAAAACCTCACTTCTACTGCTTGCATCTTACCTCCAGGAGTGCATATATTAACTATAACCTCTTTTTTTTATTTACTAGCGCTCATCATTGCATGCTAATAGCTGATATCCCTCCTCAGCTCAATTCAAAGCTCAGTTCCATTTAAGATATGCTACCACCTACCTTCCCTCCTAAGGATGGGATGCACAAAAGTCGGCTAACATTCAGGCACCGACATACTGCTAGGTGAGCAGGACCAACAACTGTAATAGGCTACGATAATTAACAGTTTTTCTTTGATCTTCACAGGTGTTCCGTCGTTGAGATACGCGTTCCTGAGAATGAGAAATATCTGATTACCTGGCAGCCTTGAAAGCCGACACATATTTACAGTTGTTCTAAACCAGTGGTTCTTATCCTTGTTGGAAGTACTGAACCCCGCAAGTTTCTTCCCTGCATTCACTGAACCCTTCGTAATTTGAATAATGAAATATTATTTCTTCAAAATATGACTTCAGTCAAAACTACAAATCAATATGATTTTTGCTGTTGCCTTTCAGAGACAAGTTCAGAAATGTGCGGCTTCACCTTGGCAAGTGTCACTCTCTATCATTTTTGCAACAAAGTCTGTTCCTTTTCTTCGTTTTGATGTCTACCATCCTCGAAAAGGATTGCACGTAAAGATACACTGTAACAAACGGCGTTGTAACACACAGACACTGTGTGTGTCGTGTGTATGTCGTGTATGTGTCGTGTGTGTGTCGTGTGTGTGTCGTGTGTGTGTCGTGTGTGTGTCGGGTGTGTGTCGGGTGTGTGTCGGGTGTGTGTCGGGTGTGTGTCGGGTGTGTGTGTGTGTGTGTGTGTGTGTGTGTGTGTGTGTGTGTGTGCTCACCTAGTTGTACTCACTTAGTTGTGGTTGCAGGGGTCGAGTCATAGCTCCTGGCCCCACCTCTTCACTGTGTGTGTGTGTGTGTGTGTGTGTGTGTGTGTGTGTGTGTGTGTGTGACCTCCGCCGAACTCCAGAGACTGACTCACCGAAGCTCTGGGGTTCGATCGAACAAAGGTTAAGAACCACTGTTCTAAACTGAAAGCTATATCTCTACAGGTGTTATGAGAGTATTGGTGGAGAGTTGGAAGAGTTGCAAAGTGCTGCATATATATGTTGGAGTGTTACAGAAGTGAGGCAATGTTGGAGAAGTGGGACGGTATTGGAACTGGGCAGTGTTAGAGGAATGGAGCAGTGTTGGAAGAGCGAGGTAAGATTAAAGCTTGACGATGTGTGTGTAACATTTATAAGACATTATAAGATAGGTGGTGGGACTCATTATCACCTATTCTTCACCTACAGGTTCCAGCGCAGGAGTGAAGCTAGGGAGGCACTTGAATGTTCTGCTAGTCCTGCTGCTGACTACCCTCACCGCCCACCAGCGCTACGCCCTCACCTAATCACCTCCTGAAAGTTACTGTTCACCTGCACTACGCCCTCACCTAAGCACCTGCTGATAGTCACTGCCCACCTTCACCATTCTCCCGCCTAACCATGTCAGGTACTTCGCGAAGCAACGCTGCTGGACTGGTCAAGTAGAGGATTGGCGATTTGGTAAAACAGCAGACGAGTAAACGAATAAACTGGTGAACATGGTGAACAGGTGAACTTATGCAGTGATAAACTGGCTAACAGATGATATAATATACTGGCCGATATGTGACTTAGGTGTGTTGGGAGGCTGGCTAAAGTCATGAAATTGTGAAAACTGGTGAATACCGAGCTGGTATACTATTGGTGGTTAACCAGAGTGCTCATGAAAACTGGCTAAGTGGAAAAAAAAACTGCCTGAGTGAAGTGTTAAACATTCTCTTCAACTGACAAAGCTGTGAATTGACGGTGATAGGTGATTAACTGGTAAACTAAAACACTGCTAAAACTTTACGCTTGTTAACTGCTTGTTAAAAAGTGATGAAAAGATAACTCACAGAGTAACTGATGAAAAGACACATGTGCAACACTTGAGAACATTTATTTGAGAGAATTCCCTCTATTACAGAGACATGAGAAAGGAGACTTATGAGTCTATATCACTTTAATAAATCCTCTGGTGGGCGAAACGTCTCCCACATAAAAATACTCAGGTGTAGCACGTGTCTTCTTCATTACTTTGTCGGTATTTTATACCCTTGATCTAATTCGTCTAATAGTCGGGTGGAGATTTTAAAAATTCTAACATTCAAAGGCATTTGCTGTTACAAGTAAATTTTACGTATTTTTAAGCTATTTTAGGTATGCAAAGCTCTATAATGGCTGTTACCAAAATATCGATAGCCGTTTAACATCCAAAGTGGCGCATCGGAGATAGTCGCCGCAAACACGTCGTTTTGAGATAATTAAATTTCTGTTACGTATAAACGAGAACAATATACTAGTGTAAACTTAAGTGGAATTCAGAAATGCTAAAATACCACAAAAGCAAATATGAAGAATTTATAAATACGTAATACGGGGAAATTTAAAAACTAAATAATTCTTGTTTAGTAGGATTAATGAGAAGTGCGAAGGACAACAAATTACCTCCATGAATAATGAAAATAATAATAATAAGTGCATTTAATATGTAGTAATTTCACCGTGCCTAATAATTAAGTACCGCCAATGTTATTTAAACATGCATCACTAAATAATATAAAGATTTCACTTATTATATTATTAACATTCATTAAAATTCATTACAGGAAGGCTATTTAGAATCATTTGTCTGTGTTGTTCATGTATTTATAGTACACTGCAGCTCGTCGGTGAAGCTTGTACACTGACAAACCGTGAGCAAAATAATCTGGATTTACGGCACTTACTTCGTAGTGCCATTCAACCTGTTTACACTGCATATCAGCATTTCTATGCAGTTGTCTGTGATGATACTAGGGCTTATCAGGATTCGAGCATATTTCCTTTCAAGTAACCTGGATGATTTCCTCGTGTCAACAATATGCTATTGCAGCTTATTCGCTGTATCTAGTAATTGAGAACGTAACTCTTTGCTGTGGTGCTTCTGGTTTTTTGGCTGTGGAGAGAGTAGACATCAAGTATTGTTACTTGTTTCCACAGAATTTGGCACATTGTGCAATACTCCTTACACTCCAGTTTATCAGTAGAGGCAACAGCTTCTTGTATGAGAATGTCTTCATTTTGGACAGAGAAATTTATGGTGTTTCTTGAACACTTCGCACAGCTGTTTTTTGTATGGTCGGTGATGTTGTGTCACAACTGATCAGAGCATGAAATGGAAAGAGATTATGTGTCCATGTGAAATGAAACTGGCAGTGTACTTAATTTTGCTGGAATGAACTTCTGTTTCTGGCGTGTACCTACTAGTATCCATAGCTCAGGACAACCAGACTCCTCCACATGTGCAACGAGCAGCAGGAGGACGTCTGTGTCCCAGGCTCTGACAACAACATTAATGTGTATTGCATGGAACCTACTCTGGTGTCTGATTTTTTGTGCGTGATTTCCAGCATGTCCAAGAACGGGGACTAATTGACTCGACTAATTGTTACTTTTAACTTCACACTGGTCCGCAGATTCACCACTAACAACAACAGTCTTGTCTGAAGGGCATTAGTTTATAATTTCTTTGGAGAGAAGTAAAACCAGATCTGCCTTTTCCTTGATAATGACCATTTCCACGTAATTCCACAAGTAGTAGAGATTAGCAATGTCACACAGGGTTCCTCCGATGCAGAATGAAATTGTGCTTTGGAAGCAGTTAGAGTTTCACATACTCTTCAACATCATCAAATGACATTGATGAAATCTGTGCATGCAGCTCAAGATCATTTTCCTTGTTGTATTTGCCATAAATCTTAGGATGTTACTTTATGAACACACATGGATTTCTCGGAAGAGAGTGGCTCCAGCCTCAGTAGTTTAGAACCCTTCATATGTTTACCAGTGAGCTAAAGAAAGTTCGTGGCTATATGAAGACCACCAAGACGAATAATGACACTTTGTATTCAAGCAGCAGTGTGTGATGTACAGTGATGATTATGACCTGCTGATCACGCTGCAAGGATAAGTACACACAGCGATGAACTATTACGTTCAAGGTGTACATTTTGTTGGCAAACACTTGAAATATTGACAGGTAACTTACTGATGCTATCATTGGTCGAACTCAGGAACTAACTGAAGACTATAAATCCAGGTTTTATGTGAGACATCAGACTTGTCATGAAGAATGCACGATAAATCGCTCTAGCTGCCGTCGCACACGCTGGCTCATCCTCGGGTTTCTTGAACCAAGTGGGATCAAAATTTTCACACTTTATTTCGATTTACCTTTCCAAAGCGAAAGTGGGGAAGAGTGTTTTTATAAATGAAGGAACATTTAGTTGACGTCGTCTGCTCAGCCTCAGAATTTCTATCACATAAGTCGATCTTGATCCTTTCTGCCATACTTCTTAAACGGAGTGAAATGTTTACTGGCCGTCAAATGTTCACCTTCCAGTTCATAGTTCTCGGATTATTTTCTGTTAATGCTATAAAGAACTGAAGAATTTGATAAGTGATAATACTTCCAAGTTTAGAAAAAATAACTAATCTGGTATATTGATGCAGTGCACAACCCAGTCAAGTGTGGTTTCAAGGCTTGAGTTTAGGCTACCGAAGACACTGAACACAATGACTTAAACATTACTTAGCAGCGACTTTCGTCAAGGAGTTTTTATCCTCCGAATAAAATTCTCAAAAAAAAAAAAAAAGTGTAGAGACTGAGGCAGGATGCACACAATTGCACTATCTCTACCCTGAGTCCTGTGTGACTTTTGTGGATGATAAAGTCTCCAAGATAGGGAAGCTGTGATTTCGTGTATAGGACAAGGAGGAATAACATCTTGTAGGAGTGAGGAAGAGCCAGTAGTGAGTGTGGGGGAAGTTCGTGAGGCAGTAAGTAAAATGAAAGGGGGTAAGGCAGCTGGGATTGATGGGATAAAGATAGAAATGTTAAAAGCAGGTGGGGATATAGTTTTGGAGTGGTTGGTGCAATTATTTAATAAATGTATGGAAGAGGGTGAGGTACCTAGGGATTGGCAGAGAGCATGCATAGTTCCTTTGTATAAAGGCAAAGGGGATAAAAGAGAGTGCAAAAATTATAGGGGGATAAGTCTGCTGAGTATACCTGGTAAAGTGTAGGGTAGAGTTATTATCGAAAGAATTAAAAGTAAGACGGAGAATAGGATAGCAGATGAACAAGGAGCCTTTAGGAAAGGTAGGGGGTGTGTGGACCAGGTGTTTACAGTGAAACATATAAGTGAACAGTATTTAGATAAGGCTAAAGAGGTCTTTGTGGCATTTATGGATTTGGAAAAGGCGTATGACAGGGTGGATAGGGGGGCAATGTGGCAGATGTTGCAAATGTATGGTGTAGGAGGTAGGTTACTGAAAGCAGTGAAGAGTTTTTACGAGGATAGTGAGGCTCAAGTTAGAGTATGTAGGAAAGAGGGAAATTTTTTCCCAGTAAAAGTAGGCCTTAGACAAGGATGTGTGATGTCACCGTGGTTGTTTAATATATTTATAGATGGGGTTGTAAGAGAAGTAAATGCGAGGGTCTTGGCAAGAGGTGTGGAGTTAAAAGATAAAGAATCACACACAAAGTGGGAGTTGTCACAGCTGCTCTTTGCTGATGACACTGTGCTCTTGGGAGATTCTGAAGAGAAGTTGCAGAGATTGGTGGATGAATTTGGTAGGGTGTGCAAAAGAAGAAAATTAAAGATGAATACAGGAAAGAGTAAGGTTATGAGGATAACAAAAAGATTAGGTGATGAAAGATTGAATATCAGATTGGAGGGAGAGAGTATGGAGGAGGTGAATGTATTCAGATATTTGGGAGTGGACGTGTCAGCGGATGGGTCTATGAAAGATGAGGTGAATCTTAGAATTGATGAGGGGAAAAGAGTGAGTGGTGCACTTAGGAGTCTGTGGAGACAAAGAACTTTGTCCTTGGAGGCAAAGAGGGGAATGTATGAGAGTATAGTTTTACCAACGCTCTTATATGGGTGTGAAGCATGGGTGATGAAGGTTGCAGCGAGGAGAAGGCTGGAGGCAGTGGAGATGTCATGTCTGAGGGCAATGTGTGGTGTGAATATAATGCAGAGAATTCGTAGTTTGGAAGTTAGGAGGAGGTGCGGGATTACCAAAACTGTTGTCCAGAGGGCTGAGGAAGGGTTGTTGAGGTGGTTCGGACATGTAGAGAGAATGGAGCGAAATAGAATGACTTCAAGAGTGTATCAGTCTGTAGTGGAAGGAAGGCGGGGTAGGGGTCGGCCTAGGAAAGGTTGGAGAGAGGGGGTAAAGGAGGTTTTGTGTGCAAGGGGCTTGGACTTCCAGCAGGCATGCGTGAGCGTGTTTGATAGGAGTGAATGGAGACAAATGGTTTTTAATACTTGACGTGCTGTTGGAGTGTGAGCAAAGTAACATTTATGAAGGGGTTCAGGGAAACCGGCAGGCCGGACTTGAGTCCTGGAGATGGGAAGTACAGTGCCTGCACTCTGAAGGAGGGGTGTTAATGTTGCAGTTTAAAAACTGTAGTGTAAAGCACCCTTCTGGCAAGACAGTGATGGAGTGAATGATGGTGAAAGTTTTTCTTTTTCGGGCCACCCTGCCTTGGTGGGAATCGGCCAGTGTGATAAAAAAAAAAAAAAGTCTCCAAGAATTTTTAGTCACACAGGTCCATGACAGCGTTATTCTCTGGTTGGTAAGCTCGAATTGTGAACATTTCATCAGAATCTTCTGATTCCACAAACTCGGTTAAAAGTATAACGAAAGTTTGGCTATCGCCATGACTCTTGTGAAAAGATGGAATAATTTTGACGGTATTTCCGAGAGGAATGGAGCTTTTCTTGGAATGAAAGCCTGCTACTTCTCCTTGAGACTGAAATTTCAGTTTCCGATTCTTTCTTCTAGGCTTCAGTACCTGTTCCAGCAAAACCACCTTAATTAAATGTAAACATTGTTTTGTTTCAATTTGAGTTTTCCAACTGATCGGTTGAATGTCGCTAGGCAGGGCAAGTAGAATCTACCGTCAGCAATTGTTAGATCAGATACCCTAACAAAGTGGGTCCTGGCTCTGGTCGAACTGTGCACTTTCTATTTAATTTATCAATCATATTTTGTATGATTTACTGGGATATTCACACGAGAAGTGATCCGCAGACGCCTGTGACCACAGGTACGGGTATAATACCATCCAACTAGGGTTACCACTCATCCTGGTTGAATGGCTATACTCTTGCCTGTGGCCACAGGCGTCTGCAGAAAACTTATCAAGTGAGTATCCCAGTAAAACTATACAAAACATGTGCAGTTTCCAACTTCTACTTGCTCACTGTGAACGTTGCAACCCGTCTGGCCTTCTCTTTTGGGACCTCCTGGCAAAATAGGTACGAATTCCAGTCAATAGCCTGCACCATGCTTCCACCTAAAAACTCGTTAGTTCTCATGTTTGTTGATGGTGTTTCTGAAAGCTTTTCTGTATTTATCTACCGTCCTTTGATTTTCCCACTGTCTGATATTTATATAGCAGTTCCCATGCCAGACAATTTGTGTTAGATTCACATAGTCCAGACCATTTTTGAATTTGTCAATTGTTTTACATACTTGGCATCTCAGACCTTTCTGAGCCACACTCCGTTGAAGGACGAAGCTCTTCTTTCTTTGATTGCAAAGTCACACAGAATATGTTAAAAATAACAGTACACTGATAATTTACTTTTCAAATCCTACTGAAACGAGTATTAATACGATGTTGAATTTTTCGTTAGTAAAATACCAATAAAATATGTGTAAACTATAAACGTATTATTGGCTTTGTGAGAAGGGAGGGAGAGGATTATTATTATTATAATCAAGGGGGAAGCGCTATACAGCGCCTGGGGGGGAGGGATGTGGAAGGCATTCAGGCTTAATTTGGGGAACTGGAGCACAGATCCAATTCCCTAAATCAAGAGCCTCTCACGAACATCAAGGAACCTTCCTTGAGGGAGGGAGGGAGAGGAGACAGATTGAAAAGGATATTTCTTGATCTAGAGTTCTCTAACATACCTTCGGATGAGCCAGAGTGAGGAAATGATGTCTCTTATTTGAATTAACAGAATACAGGTGTAATTTAATTATGAAAATTTACTGCTTTAGACACGCTTTATTAAGTGATGATTTTAGACAATTTAGAATAAAAAAAAATCTGGTAACAGAATCGAATTCAGCATTCCCAAATTATCCTAAAACGACTTGTTACGAGCTTGTAAAAAATGCCTCGTTGACTTTTTTCCGAGAGTTTCCTTAATATCCCACCTGACTATGATAAAAGCTCCTTATATGGTGAACTAACAAATTATCTGACTACAACAACAACCAAAATCCCGAACCAGTCACACAGATAACCAAAATCCTTCCACCACCAGCCAATAACTTACGTTAGCTCCGAACTTCAAGTCCTAGAAACATCTGGACAAGAACATAAAGAAAAAAATCACAGTTTTCCAAAGCAGTAGTTAGTTAGTGATATAGTGTACAGAAACTGAATAATTACCTCCCTTATAAATAGAATGGCTCTGTACAAGCTCTGGGCCGCCTACATAGTGAAAAAATATTAGTGAGAATCAAGTTTCAGTGTGAGTTACGTCCTCAAACGTGTTAGGGAAGATAATGTTAACTTGTTTAAGTTATAATTCTACTCTGTTATCATTCCACACCGCCCAGTGATTAAATGTGTATATATATTATATATATGTATGCATATTGTGTATGTTTATGTACATTTAATTCATTAATATATGTAATTGTATAGAAGTACATATATATATACATATATATATATATATATATATATATATATATATATATATATATATATATATATATATATATATATATATATATATATATATATATATATATATATATATATATAATATATATATATATATATATATATATATATATATATATATATATATATATATATATATATATATATATATATATATATATAGTATATATATATATGTCGTGCCGAATATGTAAAACTGGTCAATTAGCAAGAACTCATTCGAAATTAAGTCCTTTCTAAAATTTTCTCTTATACGTTTAAAGATATATTTTTTTTTATTAATGTTGATTTAAAAATTTATAATTTTGAACCAAAAGGAACTTAGAAAACTTACCTTACCTTATTATAACAAGAACAATTTATTTTAACCTAACCCAACTAAATATATTTTAGATTTGTTTACAGTAATTTAATACTAAACAAACACAGAGAAATATATTTTTTTCGTAAGGTTCAGAATGATTTTGACGAAATTATTGCATACACAAATTTTCACTTGTCCTATATGGCAAGATGAGCGTTGCTATTTAAGCCAAGATCGCAAGTTCTGCCTATTAGGCACGACATATATATATATATATATATATATATATATATATATATATATATATATATATATATATATATATATATATATATATATATATATATATATATATATATATATATTATTGTAACCACGAACGAGTGGTACTGAATCAATAACAGCACTGCAACTAGCCGAGGATTCAAACCCATGTCGTTTTGGCCCGCCTCATGGTGAGCGAGAATCACACATGATGCTCTGGGTTAGAGCATCATGTGTGATTTTCGCTCACATGAGGTGGGCCAAAACGACATGGGTTCGAATCCTCGGCTAGTCGCAGTGTTGTTATTGGTACATTGTGTGTGTGTGTGTGTGTGTGTGTGTGTGTGTGTGTGTATGTGTGTATGTGTGTGTGTATGTATATTGTACATACATATATACAACTATATAAATGAAAGTTATTACTTTGGTCTCTTCTCTGGGTTCTCGTTATACAAGGATACTAGAAAGTACACCGAGAAGAATTTGTCTGAAGTAGAGGTATAATGGAGCAACCATTGTTGAATCTGCTTACTAAGTAACCACAGCTGGAATGATTTCTGGCGTGGCAGATTCTAAGAAATTAAATTCTTAGCTGCAATTTTTATGGTGAATTATTTCAGCTGTGCCACAAATAACAGTGTCATATATTGTTTGGACAAAGCTGTAAATGCGCAGGGACAGTTTGTGCGTATCTCATGCATAATTTGCGTTCAATTAACCTATTCTTCGGAACTCTGTTGTAATTGTTTAACCAATATACGTCAAATAACTTTTTTGCGATACATAATAGAAAATATATTTCGAGTATTTTTTTTTTATTTACGTTGAATAATTAAATATGATTTGAGTTTGTGAGGAATTAATTTTAATGTCTGTTAATTTCCTGATTAAATGGAATAACCAAAGGATTTTTTTTGTCTTCTTTGTCAATATTTAACCTTCGAAGAAATAATGTTTTTGTCATGTTTTAATAATCATTGTAACAAATCTGTAACATTGTAACAATCATTTCAAGCTGAGATAACAATGATACATTCCTCCTTCCTATGTCTGGCTGACCATCAACTTTATCCCCATAACACCATATCTGATACTAAATATTTTATGGAATTTCTTCTGAAATAGTGCAGACAAGTCTCTGAATGAGTTCACTTCCAGTATACTGTACTCTAAATTTCAGGGATACTGCACTTAAAATAATTAGGATTGTTAACGAAAGGTGGTGAGTAAGAATATTTCCTGCTGTTGATGTTTTGAATTCGATACTTGTAACAACATTACTGAATTAGTTCTAAATATCACGAACATTCCCTCAGTTTTATTACTGTAAAAATTCTATCCACTTACCTGAAGCAAATCATCTCATCTGTGTTCATTTCGAGGAGCATCATGAATTCGAAATATTAAATGAATCTTGTGTTCTTGCTTGACTTTCTACAGCATCTTTAAAGTATTTTCCCATTTCCTGCTATAATGTTTCGGTAAATAGTCTCTCTCTCTCTCTCTCTCTCTCTCTCTCTCTCTCTCTCTCTCTCTCTCTCTCTCTCTCTCTCTGTACTTACCTATTTGTGGTTGCAGGGGTCGAGACATAACTCCTGGCCTTGCCTCTTCACTGGTCGCAACTAGGTCTTCTCTCTTTCCCTTATCCATGAGCTTAATCATACCTTGTCTTAAAGCTATGTATGGTTCCTGCCGCCACTACATCACTTGCCAAATTATTCCACTTATTGACACCTCTATGACTAAAGAAGTACTTCCTAACATCTCTCTGACTCATCTGAGTCTTCAACTTCTAATTGTGACCCCTTGTTTCTGTGCCTTATCTCTGGAACATCCTGTCTCTGTCTGTGTTT